GAGAGAAAGTCCGTGTGTGGGTGGGGGGGGGGGGACACTAGCTGCACCCACCCCAGCAGACTAGGGAGACGGGGATGGCGGGACCGCCCAAGTCCTCCACGGCTTTTCTCCGTCTCCCTGGTCTGCTGACCTGGGAGACGCGGAGCAAAGCCGCAGAGCACGCGGGCAGCGGGACAGTCCAGGCGTGCCGCAGCTGTCCCACTGCTGGCATGCTCCGAGGCTTTGCTCCCCATCTCCCTGGTCTGCTGGCTTTGCTCCTGGGCAAACTAGCAAAGCCGCCTAGCAGACCAGGGAGACCAGGAGAAGCTTTTCTCGCCCCGGAGGACTGACCTGGGAGACGCGGAGCAAAGCCGCAGAGCACGCGGGCAGCGGGACAGTCCAGGCGTGCCGCAGCTGTCCCACTGCTGGCATGCTCCGAGGCTTTGCTCCCCATCTCCCTGGTCTGCTGGCTTTGCTCCTGGGCAAACTAGCAAAGCCGCCTAGCAGACCAGGGAGACCAGGAGAAGCTTTTCTCGCCCCGGAGGACAAGGGTGGCGACCCGCCGCCCGTGAGCTCTGGGGCGAGAAAAGCCCCGTTCGTAAGTGCAGATCCGACATAAGTCGGATCCGTGTAAGTCGGGGACTGCCTGTATACAGCAGAGATGCTTTTTCTACTTTTCAGGCCAAATTCTGAATTTATTTATATTCCTATAAATACGTGCATTCCTACTAGCATCAAGGTGGTTGTACAGGGTGTCAATCAGTGCTCAATTGCCTGCTTTACATGATATAAAGCCTTTCCGTTTCTTGGCCATTTCATGCCATCAGTAATAGAATCATTGTAGAGAGAGATTCTAATGTTCAGAAGCTTTGAAGTTTTAGCTCAGCATGGAATGCCTTATTACAGTCTAGAAACAGCTGTATAGATTTAAGGAGCAGCAAAGTGTCTCAACAAGAATAATGCTCTCTCTGTAGCACTAAATCTAATTTACTGCCTCATGACATATATATGTCACATTTCAGATGGCTCCTATACTGTCTTTGATTGACCCTCAACACACAGTCAAAGTCAGAAGCTATTCTTTGTCTATCAATTTTCCTCACTCTCAAGGTAATAAGCCAGATAATACTACCAATATTATATATATTTCTCCATGATAAAATACAGCATGGCATTTGTCATTAATCTGATTTGTTGTAGTCTGACTGCCTATGCTATTTTTAAAAATGTTTTCCTTATGCTGAATTTATAAGGTCATATACTGACGTGCAACAGTATTTCAGACAGGCCTTGAGAAGTACTGGACATTAATTCAACTGTTCTACCTATCTTGATTACTGCAACAGGGATACCTACACTACTCTACATAATCCCTCAGGCCTTGATTTTGGGTCCTATGGAATAGTTTCACTCAGAGAGAAGTCCCTAAAAGAGTACTGACAAGCCTTGTAAATCTGATGTATCCTTCCTGGCTTATGAAAGAGCCACAAATAATGGGCGGCTACTCTCCACCAACAAGCCAATGCTTCATTTAGCAGAGAACTCCTCCTTTCCTTTTTCTAACATACAATAGATTGAGGTATCCTAAAGAAACCCACTCTGGACACATCATTTGTGCACAATTACTGCCCAGTGTCAAACTTCCCATTTCTGAACAACCTCAATCAACTACAAGTTCATCTACTTGAAGCTAAAATTCGAAACCAGTCATTCTAGATTCAGGCCAGGATATGGATCTGAAACCACTTCAGTACTAAGGATGTTAAACTGTGGTTAATTGACTAATTGAGTAGTTGATGGAATTCCCATTGACTACTCCACTAGTCGATAGGCACTTCTGCATTCCTCCTTTGAAATGTACAAGAACCCCTACTGGGGCTCTTTTACATTTCAAAGGAGGAACGTGCAACTCCATATGCAGCCCAGGGACAGCAGGAAGTCCCGCTCACTCCCAACTGCATGCCACGTGCCAGCTTTAAAATGCACAAGAGTCCCCAGAAGGGGCTCTTGTGCATTTCAAAGCAACAGCGCAGCATGGAGACTGGGGTCAGCTGGGGACTCTCCAGCTGACCCCGGGCTCCACGCACGGCAGCGCTACACAGTTGATCCCAGGATCAGCTGCGTGGCACTGTCACTTTGAAGTACTCCTCCCCGCCCTTTACTTCCCGAGGGGCGGGGAATCGACTAGTCAACTGACTGATAAGCATTTGCTTATTGGATAGTAGACTAGTCCTTAACATCCCTATTCATTGCCAGTGAGGGATGATCTCCACCTGTCAACAGATAAAGGACAGATCCATTCTGATCTTCCTGAACCTCTTTCCAGTATTCAACATTTCTGACCATGAGATAGTGTTGTCTGGGTTCCAGGGTAATACAATAAAATGCTCTGAATCCTTCCTGGAGGGACACAACTGAAGAGTAGTAGTAGGGGAGTCATTTCCCACCACTAGATCCTCTCACTTGTGGAATCCCACAAGGATCAATTTTCTTCCCAGTCTTTTTCAACATCACATGAAGCCACTAGAAAAATGGGTCAGATCATCTTCTGCTCATGTGCAAGATGTGTTTCTTTCACCCTGCCATCTCAAACAAATGCACAAACACATTTGAAAAAACCACACACCTAAAACCTTACCGAAACAAAGACATTGCACACACCTAATCCTCCTGAGGAGAGAATGAGACACAAATACTACCTAACAAAGAGTCACTTCATTTAATGTATGATGCTCAGATGAGCACTGTGTAAGAATGTACAGGCAGTCCCCGGGTTACGTACAAGATAGGGACTGTAGGTTTGTTCTTAAGTTGAATCTGTATGTAAGTTGGAAC